GCACCACCAGCGAAAGCCTCTCCGGTCCCACCTCCGGTGGCACCCCAGACTGCAGCGGCCTCCCCGGGGACACAGCCGCCCAAGAACTCCTCGCATCCGCCGCCTGCTCCACCTCAGCCGAAGGCAACTGTCCTAGACCAGCTGCAACCAGGAGCACAGGCCAAGGATACAGCCCNNCCCGACCCCGACAGTCTCGATTTCAGCAGGCGATGAAAACTTGCTCAAGCAGATGTCGGACCCGCCGTTGGAGATAAAGCTTGAGGAGGGCAGGCTGGTGATCACAACCCTTTCGGAGGCCAACCGGCGGCTAAAGCCGCTAACTATTCTCTGTGAGTTCTTCAGGGGCAAGATCACTCCGGATGCAGTGCCGCCTGGAGTTCCGTCCTTTCCCTTTGCAATCTCTCTCAAGAGCTTGATCCTTGATGCTGGAAGCAGCACCTTCAAGACCGTCGAGTCGCTCATCAAGGAGAAGAGTCTGACACAGATCTACATGCATGAGCCCTTTCCTCAAGGCGTGCCTCCCAAGGAGCTCAAGCCTCGTGCAAGCTACTTGTCACCACTACCTTGAAGGTCTTGGGGTTGTTAGGGCAGGGGTCTCGCCCTTCGTGGCAGTAGTTAGGCTAGGGGTCCGGGGTCTCGCCCTTCGTGGCGTTAGTTAGGTTTGGGGTGTCGGTTGTTGGGCTAGAGATTCTTAGGTTGGGGTCTTAGGGTAGGGGTCTCGCCCGTCGTGGCGTTAGTTAGGTTTGAGCACTACCTCGAAGGCTTTGGGCATATGGACTTGTGCTTTGTTGCTGTTACCTGAGGTGCTTCCCTGTCTGATTGCTCGACCCAGCTGCGTGATCTTCACCAAATCCTGGAGTCCACACCGACCAAGTTGAAGCTGGCCTGGAAAATGCAGGTTCAAGGGCAAAAAGCCGTTCCACAGCAAGTCGTGCTTTTCAATGAGAAGCAAATGGATTTGCCTGCACTGGATCGCATCATGATTCCTGCATAGCTTTTTCCAGAAGCAAAGCTTCCCTGCAAGGGCAACAAGCCGTTCGGAAGCAAGTCATGCTTTTCAATCAGAAGCAGCTTTGCCTGCTCTTCATCCAATCATCGCCTGCATAGCTTTTCCAGTAGAACAGCTCCCCAGGTGTGCAGTTTTGATGCCAAGCAGTTGGCCAGATAATAGACAGAAGAGCCGAAA